AAACGAGATTCAACTTGTTGGACGAGACTTTAGTAATGAATGAAGGCAAATGAAGGTGAAATTTCATCTCATTCCCCTCCAAGATCCCAAAAAATTTATTCCTTGATGTGGCAGAGAAATGGATGAAAGAGCGGATGAGAGTTAAAAAATATCTTGTGTAATGATTGGATTATCCTCATTCTTCTTAAACAATTGAACCCCTATTTCTACCTGCCTCATCTCCTACCATAAAAGTATCATTGTCTTCTGCTGAAAGAGAGAATGTTGCTCTAGCCAAGATGGGAGGGGTCATCCTCCAGCAAAAACATAAAAAAAACAATAAAACACATAAAAAATAGAGGAAATCCCTTTGCAAAATAGATAAAGTACTCTAAATAAATTGTTAGCCTCACCCAACAAAAAGCAAAGAACGACATCTTGTCCCAAAGCATGTGCAGCAGCTTTACCAATTCCTAAAACTTCTATAATTTTGCTCCAACCAACGACCCATAGAAGTTAGATAATAAAAGTTTGTATTCCTCTCTATTTCACCTCCTACCCAAAAAATATAAGACATTATATTTTCATTTCTACTATGAAAGTATTTTTAACTATCCATTTCTCTCTATTCCAAACAAGATAAGATATTTTTCCCTTCCACTTCACTCTGTTCCATCACTTAAATCCCTCCCAACTTCTTCCAAACAAAGCCCCAAGAGCATTGAGAGGTGACAAGAACAGTAGACAAGGGGAAATACGTATAGAAGTAAAAAGACAATATCTGTCTTCAGTTACAAAAGAATAAAAAAAAACTTAGAACCGCATCATTGTAATGCTAAACTGTGAAATCTTCTATGTAAACTTTCAGTCATTTTCTCAGCATCCAAACAGCACAAAACATCAAAGAAAAAGAGCTTACCACATACATGGCCAGGCAAGCAACCAGGTCCCGATGGGTTTATCCAAGCGAGCAAGTTTTGCATATGGTTGAGCTTTCCTGGGCAAATAGTCAATCCATGACTCTTCATTGGCAGTACTCTCCTTTCTATCCTCCTCTGAGCTGCCTTTTGCTATTTTAGGCAATGAGGATGATGTTGAGATTCCTTCTAAAGATCTATAATTCTTACCAAATGTGTTGTATTCTCGGGGAGATCCCAAACTTTTATGAGAAAACTCAAGGCTGGATAGAAAATGGAAATTATAAGCGAGTTGATTGGCCCAGGGGCCTAAAGGAATCGCTGCACTAGGGTTGGGACTAGGGCTTAATGGGGAGATGACTTTGACAGTGAGAAAAGCGAGCAAGGAGGAACTAGAAGACACATAGGATTTCAGGATACTGCGAGAAGTGCGAGACAGCAGAGAGGACGCCATTTACATAAGCAAGGTCCTGAAATTTGGCGTAAATGGTTTGAGTTGCATAGTAGTGTAATAATTTAGTGTAAGGATTTCCAATTTACTGTCCGTGTAGCTCAATTCTCTCCAAAAACTCAAAGTTGAGACAAACCACACAGATAGAACCATGGATTACCAAGAAATAGACAAATAATAATAATAATAATAATATTGTTTACTAGCCATGTATCATTTTGAACACTATTAAGTATTCTATCTTCTTAGCTTAAGAACATATTCGAACACATAATGACTAAAAATATACATATACTATATACTTGTAAGGCTGAATCAAGACAAAATCCAAATCAAGCAAAAACATGTAAAACGAAACATCCAAGTTGTGCATACAAATGAAAACAAGTTCATATCATAAAATTGTAAAACAAAGACCAAATAAATGAAAGGGACCTTCAATTAAGAGGAGCCGAGGTAGCACCGTTTGTAGAGCAGAAGACGTCGCGGCGATAACTGGTTGCGGGGCAATGATTACCGCGGGTCTCGAGTTGAGTTGCATTTGAGCGAGTTGCGCTCAGAGGTTACCATTAAAGGACGCCAAGTGGCCGACAATAACGGAAGAAAGGGCTGAGACTGCTTGAAGGGAGAGAACGACAAGAGGCGCGCTGAGGTTCGCGGGGATGACAAGGGAAAACTGAGTGAGAGTTGATTTAAGTAGGGCCTTCGTGAAGCCGGTCGAGCAGAGAGGGAGAAAGAAGGCAGTGTGACTCGTGGAAAAATGGAAACTAAAGGTGGAGGAATTGGTAAGAGTCAACTCGGGGAGAGCAGCTAACTGTCGTTCTTGATAAACTCGTGAGAACTAATCAGTTCGACCAAATCGAGTCTGAATTAGAATATTTCAACCAATTACTTTTCGTTAACCACAATTCTTTTTCTTTTTAATAGTAATTGCCCGTTAATTCAATTGAAAAATAAAATTAAGTCTTGAACTACATTTAAAAGTTAAAATTGAAATTTTTATTATATACAATTATATATTTAATTTATTTAAACTGTTCGATTGGTTCAATTTTATATTTTACATTGATTTAAAAAAAAATGTTTATGTGCACTGTTAGTGTACTAGATATAATAATTTATCATTAAAGTAAAAAATAAAAATATGAATTAAAATTTTTATTTTTCATTTTAATTTTATAAAATTAAAATATAAGCTAAACTCCACAAAATAAAATAATTACAATAGCCATAATTTGATTTTATGTATATAATATATATTTGACATTATCATATTTATATGTAGATATTTACTTATTTAATATATATAATCAAATATTATAAAAAATAATACCATCTTAAGTAAATGTACTATTTATACTTTTTACATAAGTAATAGTAATGTTATTATTTACACGAATAAAACTTATTTATTTATAATATTTTAGCACTTAATATGTACTAGTTTTTTATACATGTATTCTTTTGTTGAATGTCGTTTAATATTTTTATGATAATATACTATGAATTAATCACACGTCGTAGCATCTGCTACTCGACTATTAGCTCCAAACATTTTATTTATTCCTTATTGACTTAAAAAAAACAAGAGGTATATTGTAGTATTGAACTGATAATCATTTTTCGACTAAACAAATTCTCTCCGTCAATTGAGATAAACAAATAATTAATACAAGAATATACACTTGTTAATTTTAAAATCGGTATAACACTTCATCTTTAAATTCTAATTAAATTTTAAATATTAATTAAATTATAATAAATATAATTAAAAATAATAATTTATAAATAGAAGAGATTTTTGCTTCCGTATATAAATAAGTACTAAAAACCCTCTACCAAAAGAGGTATTAAAAATAAGTCAATTGAATTAAAATATTAAATTAATATTCAATTTAAATAATTAATTTATATAAATAATGTCAGTTGTACAAATTATATTTATTAAATTGGAATAATCAACTTAAATTTAGATTAATTATTAATTAGGCTGAGTGTCAGCCCACTTCAGAAAATACCCATAAGATCTGGACCCAGAGTGAAAAAACATCTTTATTTTTATGTCGATTTTGGCCGTTCGAACCTTAAATGGGTCTAAAAAATAATTAGGCTGACTTGAAGCCCATTTCTGAAAATCCAGAAAGGCTTTTGTCATCCTCCTCCATTTTGGCTGCAAAATAATAAGTTAACGGTCGACCGTCCTACCCGCAGGCACATGGTAAAACACCGGCCACCAAGTGCTGATACCGAAACGACGGCGTTCAATTTTGTCCGAAATTCTCAAATTGACGTAAACCGAACTTGGGAATTGGCAAGGCAGGAATATATTATATTCAAAAGCACACGTGCTTGGGATATTTACCTCCGCTAACAAACAAACAACGACTTGCGTGCACGAGTTATATTCTTGATGGCACGTGACACACTTTCATAAAGTGGGTCCGGTTGGGCCATTTACTGTATCAGATCTCCGGTATCAGCATCGTCCAAATTGGTGACTTTTATTGATGACACATCATGAGATTTATGATTTTCACATATCTGATCTAAGCTATTTTGTTCATTTTGTGTGTATATATATAACTTGCTATGGAATCTGGAACCAGACAAATTTGACTCCAAGACAAAATAATGACTTAAAAGAAATTAAAAATAAAATAAAATTAGAAATGTGAATTTATGAGTGCCCGTCAAGGTGTTCGAGCCATGCTAGACGAACATATGGTAAACAGTCGGTTATAGGGAAACAAGAATGGTTTTTATGCGCTTAAAAGGACTGCCTTGTATTATCAACTATGAATAAATTTATTTACCCAAAAAACTATGAACAAATTTAATTAGTTGATTTTAATATAAATAGTAAAATATAATTAATTATTTATAAAATTATTAACAGCAAAAAATTTAAATAATCACCACTTGTTATCCTATGTTCAAATTAGCAATCATTTACTGCTTTCGTAAAAATCCAAAACTTATAATAAAACAAAATTGAATATTTATTGAAAAAATATATATAATACCTTTTCAATGGCCAAGTAATCAGCTAATTAATTGCTTATTAAAGAGCAAATTAATTTGATTATATATATATTTCTATATTTATGTGTGTAAAATTTTCTATTATTATTACGTTGAAAAAAAAATTATTGGTTCGTCGTTTAGTTACATTACATGCAGGCGAGCGTTACGTAAGCTTTAATTTGGAGATTACACGTGCTGGTTTTACAATCGCACTGGGTAACCATATCAAGCAACAACTCGGCACGTGTTGGAAACGTGTCAAAGATTCGAGACGGGACAGGAAAATTCATTACCAGGGATTGATAAATTTGACTTATGCTCATTCACTGGGCCCCATAAGCTCCTGCAGCCGGTAACTTAAGAAATTCAATTTGATCATCAGAAAACGCAGAACTCGTTCTGCTCTCGCGCTTCCGGCAACTTGGCTACCTAAGCTGGCCGTATTGTTCTCTGTGTTCTGTTGTTTATGAAGTTCGAAGAAGCTTCAATGGCGATTTGTAGATCTGAAGTGGATGTTCGAAGAGAAGAGAATTAAACCAGAGGTTGTCTCCCTCCCTGCCTGCTTTGTTGATCAGGTTTGCTTCGATTCAAGTCCTTAAGGTTATATCTGGAGCAAATGAGTTCGTTCCTGCCAAACGTAGCTAATAATGGTATTGATATTTGCTTCAGTTGATTGATGAGTTAGTAAGTAGGTTTATTTATTAATTTTACTTAAATCAATTAATCGCATGAATTTATTGAAAAGATTCGCTTAATTAGGTGGAATTCATTTCCGAAAAAGGAAAGAGTTTATCAATTTTCGCATTGTAATTATTAATTATCTATCATTAATTATTGATTGACGGCGCTTACGCAAGCGAAAATAGTTTCCCTTTTCTGTGACAAGGACGTATTAATCAGAGACAGACCATCAAGTCGGATTGAACTACCTATAATTAATTAGTAAAATTGATTTGGATTAGTGAGTTTAATTATAAAAGTTATAAAATTACCTTATCTGGAAAGTAAGTGAAATCCCATTAAGTTGCTTGAACGGGGCGGGGCGACAATAAGATATGGCGTTGGCAATTAAGGGCAATGAACTCTTCAAAAAAATTAAGGGCGATTGTGATTTGTAGAGCCTAGGAGACCACCTAACTCTCAGAATATATAATTAAATAAATAAACTAGGAGACAAATTCTGCGCGAGTTGATGGTGTATTTCTATATATATGTTACCCTGGTTGTGTATATACATATATGTTGTACAAACTCAAAGTCCTGTAGGATATATATACATATATTTCTATTTCTCTGCGATAACTAGCTACATGTATATTTCTGTCTTCTTGTAGCAGAATGGAACTTAAAAAAGAAAAAAACATGGTTCTGACGGAGTCAAAAATGGCGGTGCATGGCGACCTACGAGAGTCGCCGCCGCATGGAGACCCATATCAAAAAAACGGCTCTCTCCCGTTCTCGTGTCTGGGGAGGCAGTCTTCCATTTACTCGCTCACTCTCGACGAATTCCAGCATGCGCTCTGCGAGAGCGGCAAGAACTTCGGTTCTATGAACATGGAAGAGTTCCTCACCAGCATCTGGAACGCCGAAGAGAACCAAGCCGTATGCACCGGCACAAACACAACGATCTCCATACCCAGTAACCTCAACAACGACGAGAATCAACTGGCAAGCCTGGATGTACCTTTGGGTGCGGATGCGGGTGCTGGAAGAAGTGGTGGTGCAGGAAAACAACCAAGCTTGGCGAGACAAGGCTCGCTCACGATTCCCGCGCCGTTGTGTAGGAAGACTGTGGAAGAAGTCTGGTCTGAGATACACAAAGGACAACGAGGAGAGGGAGGTGGACGGGATGGTAACGAGAGCGGTGGTAGTAATTTGCAGACTCTGAGCAGTGCATCTCAGCAGCCGACTTTTGGGGAGATGACACTGGAGGATTTCTTGATCAAAGCAGGTGTAGTGAGAGAACAGTGTGCAGTAGTCCCGCCGAGTTTGGCTCCACAACAGCAGCATTTCGGGGTCTACCAAAATACCAACAATGCGAACGTGGCTCCAAGCTATGTTCCTAGACATATAATGACAATGGGTGGCAACAATAACTCCGGCGGTGGCCCTAGTGGCAGCAGTGGTGTTTACCCGCCAATGCATACGGCCGGAGGCGGAGTGATTGGAGAGCCAACGGGGTATGCCAATAATGGTAAGATGAACGGGGGGTACCCACAAGCTCCGTCGCGTCCAACGTCGGCCGTTTGTTATGGTGGGAGAGTGGCGAATGGAGGAGGGTATGCCCCTGTGCAGCCGATAGCGGTGGTGCCTCCGATGAGCCCTGTCGCGCCGTCGGATATGTGTACAAGCCAGGTTGATTGTGCAGGGAATCAGTATGGGATGGACATGAGTGTAGTACTGAGAGGAAGAAAGAGGATTATTGATGGTCCAGTGGAGAAGGTGGTGGAGAGAAGGCAGAGGAGGATGATCAAGAACAGAGAATCCGCTGCCAGGTCTAGAGCCAGAAAACAGGTACACTTACTTAAATAAAACAATAAATATAAATATAATATATATATATATATGTAAGAACAAGAAAAACGATTTTGAGATATCTTAATATTGCTCCTTCAGGCGTATACAGTGGAACTAGAAGCAGAACTAAATCAATTAAAAGAAGAGAATACGCACCTGAAGCATACTCTGGTAATATCCAATTTTGGTAATGAATAATATTCATTGTTAAGCTTAATTCTCTACGTGGTATTTACATGATTATGCTTCTTCATCTCTTGTACTCAAGCAGGCGGAGCTGGAGACGAGAAGAAAACAACAGGTAAAACTATTTTCTTCCTATATTTCCCGCACACGATTCTCAGAACTAATCCCTAATTGTTCAAAAAGTTATTGTGTGAACCTTGTTTGTTACTGCTGGTTGGTAATAGTTAAATATGGGTACACAATTCTTTTGTTCCGGCCTTGCTGTCTTCTAAACTTCCATTTACTTTCAAATGATGTGTTGGCAGTATTTTGAAGAAATAAAAACGAATGCACAAACCAAGGCAGAAAGAGCTAGAGAGAAATTGAGACTTCTTAGGAGGACCGTGAGTTGGCCGTAAGTTGGCCTTTGGAAAAAAGCCCAAAGTTAGTTACTGCGATGGTAAATGCATTTTGCATGGTATTATACAAAATTTATTAGTATAAGAATCAAAGAACTGCTCCGATGGAATGGAAATTCAAAGGGAAAGATGGAGAAGAAATTTTGGGTTCGTTCAGGGAGATTTTACCCATTCGGGACAAGGCACCACTACTTCGAAGAAGGCCAGGACATTTTGAAGACAAAAACCGGGGTGAAACTAGTTTCTCAATGTAATATATATTCTAAGTTGTCTTTTTTTTGTTTTTTTTTGTTTTTGGTGGTTGGGGTATTGGGGATATTCAAAAGAATTGTTTGGTTATTTTATTTACTGTTTACAGTTTTTTACAAGTAGGTGCTTTTGTTCCCTGGTTCTTCTTCTTCAGATTTCCATTGTGGTTTTCCACACTGGGTGGAATGTATGTATATGTTACAGGATGGAGATAGTATGTAGATATATATGCCTTCAGCACTTCTGATGTCTAACAAAACTAAAACAAGTGGTAAAAGTGATCAGTCTACTGTAACTCAAACTAGTAATGGTAATGGTTGAAAAAAAAACAAAAACTGCAAAAAAAATTATATTTTGTAATGTAAGTGGTACTGTTTAAATCTTTTTGTATGATTTTAAACGAATCAATAGGATTTGATTAATTTTTCTTTATTTCTTAAATATCAAATAATTACTTCATTAGTACGTATTGTCAGCTATAACTCACTGAACTTTATATCTTAGTAAGATTCCAATATATTGTATTACATTAAGTTTTGCCTCGTTGATTACTTGCTCCATGCGTGTCTTCGCTCCTGGTTTCAACCCAGTGGTAACCGGTTAGAAGAGAGGAGAGTTATATAGAAGAGACACCATCGTTGCCTCACATATCTAAATATGCCACCATCAAAGCCATGGAATTGCCCTTTTACACTTGCAGTCGTTACATTATACGCGCGCCCGAACAGCTTTCCCACGTGGGGATTGAATTTCAACATAACCTCTATCAAAAGCATCATTGCAAGATAAGTTCCTTCTAACCACTAACATACGGGTTTTAATCCGGCAGACAATCTCTCATAAAAAAGATCTAGTACATAATCCAATATCAATAAACAACAAAAGTTTTTTCTATGTTTATATACTCAATCCTCAGCTAACGAAGTAAGAGCTTACTGATAACATGGAGAACAGCAACAAAAGCTATGAATACTCATGAATTTAGTCCTGGGAAATCGTCCATGTCAAGTGAAGCATTTGGGGTATGCCAATGCCTAAACAAAATACAGATGAGAGGAGCACGAACTTCACTAATCATCGGTAATAAATAGCATTTGAGTCGAGGAGCAAAGCAAGCCTTACCATTGTACTCACAATAAATTGCTTCGTTTCAGCCAGGACAACAGTTTGAATTGAATGAGAGGAAGAAAGGAAATGCAACAATTCACGTCAACAATAATCTATGATAAATACTCATACACACAGCTGTTCTTCTTTGGTAGTTTCAACCTCTCTGAATGTGTTAACTAGAAGTTTGTTGTTGGCTCTCTCTGCTTATAACGGCAATAAATAGCATTTGAGTTGAGGAGCAAAGCAAGCTTTACCATTGTACTCGCAATAAATTGCTTCGTTTCAGCCAGGACAACAGTTTGAATTGAATGAGAAGAAGAAAGGAAATGCAACAATTCACGTCAACAATAATCTATGATAAATACTCATACACACAGCTGTTCTTCTTTGGTAGTTTCAACCTCTCTGAATGTGTTAACTAGAAGTTTGTTGTTGGCTCTCTCTGCTATATAAGCTGACCATGTAAGTTAAGTTTAGTTTCATCCTTATTTATTTTGAGGATTAGAATTGGGCAGGCAGGTATTTATGCTTCACTTGGGAAAATAAAAATTAATCTAATCAGTGATCTTTTGCAATTTACAAGTTGGCCAAAATTCTCAACTACCGCCTTGCTTGGCAGCTGCTGTACTTGCTGATGTCATGAAAGATTCTCCACAACCACATTGCCCTTTAGAGTTTGGATTGATAAATATGAATTCAGAACTGCAAAAGAAGAGAGCCATATATGATAATGGTAATAGATTGAGAAAATTGGCTAGATATATAAGGCTCAAAATATTATGGGAAGCAAACATACAGGGCCAATATAGAAGTGAGCAGAATAGGCAGTATCCACATAATAATGTGTGTGCAATTTCCAATAAGAACTAACACCCAAGGAAATAAATTTGGCAACTAAGATCAAATGCATGTGCATCCTCAGATGGATACAACATATTTATCTTCAGCCAACTCAGTAATTTGTCACTTGACTTGCCTAGTTTCTCTCTGTGTTTGGAGAGGGTCAGGCTAGTGGTTTAGGAGGGATAGAGCGAATCCTTCCTTATCCCCAGAAGATAATGGGAGGTTCTAAATGCCTAGGGGGCAAATTGCCCCCAAGGCTGCAAAGGAGAAAAGGTTAACAATTTATATATGTTATCTTATTCTTAAAGGCTGTGGTTCTTCTTTATGAATTCACTGGTGGAGAATGATGGAGGTAGTTTACCCCTGAGGCACCATAGCATTGCCACATAACAAAACATGCATCTGAAAAGGTTTCCTTAAAAAGGTACACATTCTTACATGTAAAAAATATATGCCAAACACCATTGTCTCAGCTGTGGATCAGCAAAGATGGAACCATTCACAATCACAAGCATGACAAACCTTTTGGTTCCATTTACATCATTTAAGGAGCAAGTGATGTGACAGAATGGATGCAGAGAGAAAACGAGAACAAGGCTTAGATAACCAGCATAATGGCCAGATTATCTCATAAGGTGGCAAAACTCTTGGCTGCCAATCCTGCCAGTGACAGGACTTATCGTAGTGAAACCAAGATGATAAAAAGTGACTGCTAAAAGGTGAAAGTGATTGAATTAATCTACATCTACTAGTTGTTAAGTTAAAAATTGGATACGTGGATGGCTGCAGTTGATGGTAGGTATCTTTGATAATCAGATTTGTATTGTTTAATTTGAAAACTGCATAGAGAAGTAAATATAGCCAGAAAATAAATAATCCGAGTTCTATGGTATGCAAAATAAATAAAAAGAATAGATATGTACCTGAGCTTGTCATCTACAAAATCCATCTTGGTCCCAATAACATGCATAAGAGCCTTCGGATCAACAAGTATCTTTACACCCTTATCCTTAACTAACTCGTCAAACTTCCCCTTCTCATCTATCAAGTGGGAGGTATCAAAAGAATATCAACTAAGTTCTATGAAATAGCTAAACACATAAAACTATGATGGGCTAATATTTCATCTAAATCACTAGACATACACTCAAGACTTACAACTCCACCAGAAGAAGATGAAACTGAACATTAAAAAAATCAAACTTCTCCAGCTATTATAAGGAAAATAATCAACTACACGTCTGAAACTAATTCTTGTATAGAAAGAAATATTTTCACAGTTTTAAGAACTTTTGTAAGCTAAAATAACCAAATCTTCATTTATTTTCACAGAACATTTATTTTCTTTATTGTTATTGAAGTTATTGTCGCTTACTTCATTTTGTACATGTAATGATATTTTTCTTGTCAATTTAAGTTGCACTCTCCTGATCCTTTACTCACTTTGTTTAGAAATGCTTAAAATTAAGTTATTATTTTCAAACTTCAATTGCACTTGAAATAATTTTCTAAAATACAACAATATAATCCCGAAATGGAGATAAATAGATGATGAGAATGCTAAAAATCATATCATCTATGAGGTAATATTACCATGAGATGCAGTTATTCTAATTCCATCTGCAATAGCTATAAGATTACTTGAGATGGGATATTATATGGATAATGCAAGATATTTATTCAAAATAGACAATAAGTATACTCTACGGACAAATACAAGATCTCGGATAGATTTATCAAGAGATGAAGTTGTTAATACAGGATCCTTTGTGATGAATCTCTAATTTCCATTTCTTATACCTCAAACTGAGGTAATCTAACGATTAAAGATCCTACAATTGCCGGAGCTCAAATCTAGTCAACGAAAATATTGCCCAAATTCCACAGTATCATCAAACCTCATAATCAATAAATCCTTATCGATGGTCTATGTTTTCAATTGAATAACCATTTCAGCAGGCAAATTTTGAACATTAAAACAATTAACAACATCTAAAAATCATACCCTTCTGTTTCCTAGATATAACTCACATTTATCAAAAAATAGTTAGAGTTATTTGAAGAATATATTAATTCGAGCTAAACGATAAGTCCGCCGGAAATCAAAGTAAGCAAATAATGACATAAAGTGAAAAGGAATAAAGATATGAAAAATGTTTCAACAAAACTCACCGGCGTAATTGAGGGTGTAGGATAAACCGTTGCAGCCTCTAGCCTTGACGCCTAATCTGAGGAAAGGCCTTTGGCGCAGTTGCAACAGGTGGCGGATTCTAGCGGCAGCGCCCTCCGTCAAGGTTAGAACCTGTCTCCTCCCCGCCGGTCTGATTTTTTCAGACGCTGCCGATATTAATCGAGAAGCCATCGCACAGTAATCTAAAAATTTTCTGTTGAACTTGAAACGATGATTACCGCTTGATCACTTGAAGTTCTATGCAGATTATACGTGAGGTTATTTTCGACATTTCACATCTGGGTAGCTAAAACGGTGCGTAGCAAGAACAGTTCTAGTAAGTTCTTTTTGCCGGACTTTCACACTGGTAATACTTGGCGGTGACCTAGTAGATCACCCGCCCGTAACATGATAACTACCAAATCGATTCTGTTACGCGCTGTTGATTCTAAATAATCAAATGTAACTGACCTTCCCTCCATTTTCTCTATTTCTTTCTTCTCGCTTTCTCTCTGCTTTTGGCAGAACAATGATCAAGGTGCCATTCTTTAATCTTCTAGTGTTCAATCTGATTGTTATATTTTTACTTGGAGTGGCATATAAATCAGTGAATTTTGCAATGAAAGTAACAAAAGATGCACTATGTCCAAACGAAAGTGTCTACGAAGAAGGAGCTCGAATTTCCTTGTTCGCCAACACAATTCGCTCTCCTAACGATCCATGGTATGTATTAAATCACTCACTGTCTTGTGATGGTCCTTTTTTCAGTTGATTCAATCTAGAAAACGGCTTCAGCAAACACGTAGCGAAATGAGGACATAGAAATAGAAGCTTGAATCTGTGACGCTATAGAGGAGAAGATTGAGCATACTGTTTTGTGTTCTTCTGTTGATTTTAGTCCATGGAGACGAATAATTCCTGTTTAGCTGCTGAGAAAACGTTGGAAAAGAAAATAAAATCAGATTATGAGAATCTCGTTTGATATAAATTTTTTTTCCTCCTGCAGTTATGTACGCCCATACTTCGAGTTGCCGTTCTGCCCTCCTTACTCTCCTAGAGGTAAATAAGCTTATTTACTATTACATAGATCACAAACACACAAATATATCTATTAATCGGATCATTTTGTTTTTCAGTATTATCATATGTAAAACGGTTTAATATTTCAATCCAAAAATATTAGCGAATAAGTCGCAATTTGCACGATCTGCAAATTCTTTGGGAGAAAAACTAAATATATGCAGATTTTCGTTTCGTATTAGTGCTTAATGAAGCCCTGCATAGAAGTGATGGTTTTCTTTTGGATATTGCAGTTAAACACAAGCGAAAGAAATCTCTGGAAGAAATTCTCCTAGGCGATTGCTTCAATGAAACTAGATACGATTTCATATTCAAGAAAGATGTACTTGGGAGAGTCCTCTGCGAGAAGGAACTGTCAAAAGTGGAAGTTGCAAAGTTCAGGGATGCCATAGAACGCGAATCTCTGGTGGACGTATTCTTGAACAACATTCGCTTGCAGCACAAGGTGGGGACAATGAAGAAAGTTGATCTCGACACTGGAACAATCTATTCAAGGCCCAAGTTTTATCTTTACAATCATGTGAATTTTTTTCCGTATCATTACAAGAACAAAGTAGCACACCTGGCAGCTCTGAGTGCCATTGATTCTGCTGCGGATATAACTGAAGATGCCGCAGTTAAAGTCAAATTCACGTACTCTGTCCTCTGGAAAGGACTCGACAACAGTCAGGATAGTTACGAGACCATGACTAGAGATTGGTGCAGCATTGATTGGAGAACAGTAGTGTATTCGGCTGCAATTATTTCCTCCTGGGTGTGGTTGCTACTGTATGCTATTGTTCGTCCATATGTTCGACGTTATTTCAACGAGTATGTGATCTCTGTAAATCAATTCTGCATTGGTGCATAGATTCATGAATTGGAAAACTCATGGATTATTTGCAGGCCTTCTCATGACGTAGAAAACTCCAGGAACGTTGTCACTTCGCTTCATAATGGTGCGCTTGCAAATCCTCCGTACTCTTCCTTATTTGCTGCTTTCCGGGCCGTTGGAATTCAGCTGTTTGTTACGTAAGTTTTTCTATACAGCAAGCTATTATGTTTTAAACGGAAGCCTCAAAAACTTATTGCTGGCATTAGGATACCATTTCTTATCTGCCCTGTTCCTTTTACATCATCTGCTTGGTGTCCCATCGTCCTTCATCCTTGTTGCTTATTATATAGGAATTATTTATAAATTTGTATCATATTTTTTTATTAGGACTACTAGCCATGTCCTAAATGGTATGAAGTGACTTTATGCCAAAAATTGGGGCTCTTGGAGTAGTTTTGTATTACATCATTTTTAAATAAATTAATTTGATACACGAATTGTTTTATTCTATTTATTCAAGTCTGTTGTAAGTTTTTTAATAGTAAAAAGATATTATTATTATTTATTGATATCATTTTGTTGTTATTTTGATTTGTTATAATATCATATATTTTTAAAATATATTTAAAATTATTATGATTTAAAAATTTAATTCAAATTATAGTTATTTATAATCAATTATAAAATAAGCAATTTTACGGTTAATATTAATTATTAATGAAATAATAATAATTTTTTTATAAAAAAATTATAAAAAATATATACTATTATTAATGTTTTATAATTTATATTATTATATAGATTATTAATTTTATATGAACATTAAGATAATAATTAAATAAATTTATTAAAAAAATAAAAATCAGAAGAAGTAAGAAAAAATATGTTTAATTAGCATCACTAGACCGGAAGATTTGAAATAGAATACTTAAATAATCAAAATAATCTTTTGATACCAATTCTACTTGCAGGATTTGTGCTCTCTTTGCTCTGGTAAATGCTGGAATTTTGAGACCGTGTAATGTGGATATTTTATATGAGTACCTTCTTGGAATTTACTCTTTAACGTCTTTGGTTTCTGGTTACGAAGCTACTTCGTTTAATAGTCAATACAATAGACATGGACAGGTAATTAGTTCTATATTAATATTCTTGCTATATGGAGTTATATATTACCTTTTTGCTAGTCTTTCAATCAAGTTACGAACAAATTTTATTGCAGAAGGAATGTATCTTGCACACTGGAGTCTTGTACCTAGTTCCAGTGTTCCTTACAGTCTTTTCATTCACTATGATGGCAAAAGTAGCAATCGAATCTCCAATTCTACCTCAAGTCGTTGAAGTCATAAATTTTGTTATCTGGGGGTCCTGCACAATATTTTTCCTGATTTTAGGAGGTATAATAGGGCATTATTCTTTTAAGTATTTCAATTCTGAATCTAGAGAACTTGATGTTAGTACCAATACCATTGCTAGCGCTAGCCCCAACGCCAGCACAAGCACTAGCGCCAACATAAGGGCAAGCCCCAGTGCCAGGTCTAAAAGAAGTGCCGAGGCTAGCACAAGAGCCAGCACCAGCACCAACACTAGAACTAGCAGAAACAGAAATCAGATAGAACCTAAGCATTCTAGGTTAATAAGCACAACTGTTCAGATGTTTCTTGGGGGGTTCCTACCATTCTTGGTGATCTTATACCGTATGGATGAAATATATGCAAGTCTTTGGAACTTGAAAGTTTGCCACGCATTTAACCTCTTGCTTAGATCTTTCATTATGGTCTCCGTCGTGACTATAATGGTGGGAATGGCTTTTACATTCTACCAGATGCATCTTAAAGATTATAACTGGTGGTGGAGGTAACATCATTTCACCTTTTCTTTTTCTTATTTGCTATATAAATTATCATTCAAGTAATAAAAATCAAAGACAAATCTTAGCTTTATTTTATTTACATGGTTTTTTAGTTTTACATTCATATATAATATATATTTAGTGAAACATAATATGTAAATATATATGTTATTCATATATAATACATATATTTAATGGAACCTAATATATAATATTTATGTTATGAATTACTTTTAACATGTATACATTTGGAACCTAAAAAAATTGTTCAATGATATGATTTGTTATTAAACATGTATTTATTTATTATAAATATGACACCAAAAAGGTAAATATATCTGAATAAATTCTCTCTAATTTATTTTTTATTCTAATTTCAACAAATTCACATGTTTAATTTTCACTTTTCTTTGAAAATGATTACTTCATGGATTGATCATATATATATATTTTAATTTTTTATATATAACATTTAATGAATCTTCTTAATTTTGTTTATGCTTTATAGGTCTATCTTACGTGGGGGATCAACTGCCCTGTACATGTTTGTCTACGGAATTTTCTTCCAAGCTAGAACAAAAGTAGACGATCTTAGTTACCTGCTTATTTTTTTGTGCTTCAATGCCTGCATATCCTACTCATTTTTCTTAGTGCTTGCCACCTTAAGTTACTATGCTGGCTTTTACGCACAAGACATTTATCATTGCAAAACTACAGATACATACAGGCAAGATTGATTGGGTTTTCAGCTATTCTCCAATAATCGAGAAGGTTTATACATGTATAATAAGACATATATGCATAATCATTGCTTTCAATTTCATCAATAAGAGCATGGTACTATAAAATGGTTCATCATGTACCTATATTTGTCTAAGAACATTTAGTTCATGAGTATATGTCATGTTCCTTGCTTCATATATAGATATGTACATAGATTTCAATGTATTACACATATTTACTTTTTGATAATAACAATTCTGAAACAAGATATTCTGTAATGAAATAAGAATATATTGATATACTATATTAAGATTTATGGTATATACATATATTTGCTTTATAAATTTTGTTAGAGTGGTTCAAAATTTTAATTGACCTATAATAAATTAAAAAGATAAGAAATGAACATTTGTTAGTTATATAGAATACTTTTTCATTTATAATATGCTGAATTTATTTATTTATATTTTATAAATAGAATAATAATTTTATAATATTGAACAGTAGGTTAAAAATTAAAAAAAATATATTTTTATTAAATTAAATACTATATTAATTTTATTTAACTGCAGATCTAAATGGTACTATATATATTTAAATATTATTTTTATGTCAACGTGATCTATACATTCATTTGCATGATCGATTATCATGAATTTTTTTAATTTTTGAGTACTAAGACTTATAAAATTTAATATTAATAATGATATTTACTAGATTTCATCCTCTCATACCATTATCGTTAAATTCAAATTTTGACTTATAAATAATTAATACATTTTTAAGAAAAAAATATAGATAATTATAAATTGTTAGAATCAAATTATTCCAATGCCAACTTAAAACAAAATAAACAATTAACATATGAATTTAATTTTACTGAATTTAATGTGATTGATATATTTTCTGAAAGTACAATGCATAATTTTGTCAAGCGCTTTTTGATACATATCATTGTTAATTCTGTTATATATTCTATAAATATATAACTCAAAATAATGAATTGGAAAGTTAAAATGACACATCGAAATATGTTACTATTCAATAATATAATTAATATTTATCGAAGTAAAGACCAGCATAAACTATTTGCCAAATTACTCCAAGTGCTGCATTATAAAACCCTCGTACTTTCGGTCTATGAGCTAAGCTTTGGAGCTTGCAAAAATGGAGGCTGCTGGACTAGTCGTTCAAGCCTTGGGTTTAAGAGAGGTTTTAGGATTGAAGGCCCATTTGAGCCCAACGACTTAAACCCTTTGTAGACCAAGGGTTCATCCATGTTCCTTCAAGCTGTGTGGCAAATGTTTTGTTTTCTGAAGCCCCACACGTCGCAATGTCGCTACCGTCCTTCCTACTTTCCTTTCCTTTCTTTTTGATTTTGTCTTCACTGAAGTGAAATTTACGTTGTTCACTTTAATTTTCACCAAACATGATTTACCGGACCGAGAAAATTTACAGTTCTAAAAGTTAAGCCTAAAAAACGAATCCCCCATTTTACATGCTTCTTCAGCGCTCAAATGCTTATAGGAATTTTGCGATTTCTGTTTTCGCAGACTCTACAACTGTCTCAGGTGCTTCTCTTCTCTACACGCCCTCCATTTCCTCTTTCTTGCTATATTGATGCTTCTAGAGTTATTTTTCTTCTGGCTTCTGATGTATTACTGCTCCATTTTTACTGGAATTCGGGTCTCTTATTTGGTTTCGTATCATTTCTATAACATTTTGTGTGTTTTATTGTCTTTTAGGAAAACACATTTGAGGTATTATGTGGGATAAAGCGTTTTAATGCTTTTATGAGTTATCTGTTGATGCATGTTTCTGCTTTTGTCGGCCTTCCGTGGATTTTGGATGACTCCGAGTAGATAATGATTGTTTACTTCATTGCTAATTGCTGCGGGTAAAATTTTTATCGTTCGATCTTTTGATATACAGGTCTTGGAAGAGAGATAAGTGGCTGAATTCCTGAATTTTAAGTAATCTAGTCCTCTAAATTTCTTGGTAATTGTACCTATTTCTTGTAGTAATTAGTTGCCATAAGATGGCAACTTATATTTCTCCATGTTTAATGCCTTCTGATGTTCGAAAGCCAGTGGGGGTACTGACTGCTCTTGGAAAAAGAACATCAATGGAGAATCATTTGGCTAAGGTTGGAACCCTCAAAATGTTTGACAACAAAAATGTACATGTGGGTTTTAGCCATAAGTCAAATCTGCCCCAGTTTAAATGTTCTTCTAACAGTAGTTTGAGTCCTTACCAAAGCAAGGACCCTTTTCTGAACCTGCACCCTGAAGTTTCAATGCTTAGAGGTGAAACTAATAACACCATAAGCAACCCAAGGAAGGACACTTCAAGTGGAATGGTAACTGAGAACCTTGGAGAT